GGCTCCAGAGCTGAGAGTGTCTGCCTGCTGCTGCTGACCTGGCCTGTCCCTAATGCTGGCCCTGCTTGAACGAGTGGACTGGAAGGATGAAAGATGAGAGAGAGAGAGAGAAAAAAACCAAACAACAAACCAGAACGCTCTGAGCAAGTGATTTCCCAGTTAGAAACCCGCGAGAATTGGGGCCGTTGTGCGAGGGCAGCGCCGGGAGGATCCTGGATCCCCGAGAGCCTCAGCTCTTCTCTGTGCCCTGGAGAGGGATCTCCTCCTCCTCCTCCTCACGCAGGAGGTGTTTACACTGGGACTTCAGCACTGGTCTGAGGTGAAGTTCAGCTTCAGCAGCTCGAGCTGGGAGCTGGGGAAGCAGCAGCCGCCGCGTCTTGGGGACAGCTGAGGGAGCAGGGGCAGCTCCCAGCATCAGAGGAGTCTGGTGTCCAGGCATGCAGGGGGGTGATTTTGCCCTGGGGTGCAACGGTTTGGGGTCAAGTGGGTGCATAATGGGTGGATTTAAACTGTGCAAATGGTCAGTAGTGGATGTGTGGGAGGAGATCAACAGTGGAGATGAAAGTTGGCTCCAGGTCTGCTGGTGCAGAATCTCCCGTGGGGTTTGGGGTGTCCTGGGATGTGCTCAGGGCAGTGCTCCTGGCATGCAGGGAGTTGCCCCCGTGCTCTGCTGGCCTGGCACGTCTCCTCCTCCTCCCAGGAGCAGCTGATGCTCTCTGGTCTCTGCTCCAAATGTTGCCTCTGGCTCTGTGTGAGGGAGGTTTGGAGGAAACCTCAGAGGTTTTTTGGGGCCTCCTTCCATGAAGGGCTGACTTGCTCCTTCCACATGTTGCAGTGCCAGCCTATAGATGCACGGGTAGATACATATACTCTTAGGGCAGGGGGTCTTCTGCAGTATATCCCCTTCCTCCAGGGCACAAAACCCCTTGGCCATGGGCCATCTGGGAAGGAATGCCAGAAGGGAGGATGCTCCTGCTCCCCCAGCCAGAGCTGGGATGCCTTCCCTCTCCCTGACTGGGGTGGGCTCAGGGCCATAA